TTTTTTGTGCAAATGCATGGATGGGCCATGAAACACATAAATTCTGTTTGCACTCAATACATATACTACTAGAAAATACATGCATGCAGAAACCCTCGCCTTGCTGACAAAACCATTGTATTTTCCGAACATGAAGTATCTAAAGTAGTTGTCATGGTAACACGATAATTTTTTAAGAATATTCTTACAAATAAAAAATCGCCTAAAAATATCACTTAATTACAAAATTATCAATTTCCCAACATATATATGTTAGGTAATGATATTATATGTAATATAAGCTTCCATTTAAGGTAAAATTCAACAACAAACGCTTCGCAAAACGTTTTAAAGTGTTCTTTTTAAAACTAAACTGCCTTTAATTAAATGGCTTTATCGATAAACTTTGAGTTTGCAATAAAATGATTTCAAATTCTCGCTTGCAAATAACTTTGCTTTCTTTTTTATTTAAAATATTCAATATCACTAAAAAAGGGGAATCAATATTAAAGATACACTGAAATTATATCATTGCTGTCTTGTTTAGTTGTTTCATATACGCAAAGGCCGTCGTATAAAATCAATATTTAAAACAAACTTACCTTCGTTAACGTCGGCTCCCTTCTTTTGGCCGATTCTTTCGCAGTTTCTTTACGAGGGAGCTTTTGAAATTTACAAAATCTTGCAAAAATGCGAGCAAAAATGAAATATATTTGCAAGAAATTTATCAATCATCAAATCAAGAAATATTTGCTATTTCGCAGTCGTCATGAAGTCGTTATAATGCAAACTTTAAATTGGACCAATCAGTGTCCGCAATTCATGACAGTCCGCCATATTTTTGAGATCAGTGAGGATGACCACCCACCGAAACATCGTTGGTGAGCCACGCCCGCGATATTTGATGAACTTTAGACTTCGCTAATTCTTTCGTTTCCCCGGGTGTAAATAGCCGGGGGGAATTAGTACCCTCGCACGGCGCTTCGCGCCGTCGGCTCGGGGATAACTACTACACAACATTCCTATTAAAAGAATCAAGTGAACATTCAATATAACAAAGTGAATTCAAAATTAAATAAAAATATAATTTTGTTATTGTTAATAGTTCAGTAATGGCATTAATATTTGTAAGTCACATTTACAGGCATTGATTTTTAAATATCCACATCACCCTTCCTCAGAATCAGATTCTGATGACATGGAGTCGGACTGAGGGGATGATATTTCCAATGATTTTTTATCAAAAAAATCAAGTGTACATTGACCGCTATACTGTACCGGGTCGTGAAATTTTTCCAATGAGCTACAATGGGCTTTGAAATTTTTTCTAGGTTCTCAGGATGGGCCACCGGTTGTTTTTTTTGAAAACCTATTTTCCCTCCGGCCCACCCTAGCAGTTAGTTTATGACCGGTCCCTAATGCTTTGAGTCACTGTGGGTGCTTTGAGTCACTGTGTGGGTCAAAATTGATTGCAGTATACAATTAACACTAAAGAAACTGGCCTATCTGTTCTAGTATTTTGCCCGCCCACTTGCTTGAATTTTTCGTATTGTTTTAACAATTTTCCAAACTTGCTTTTGTATAGACAACTATTACGTTTCGTGCTATGCCGAAAGCGTTCAATTTATTAAGGAAGTGAAGGAGTTCGTATCTTGTCTGCACAGGAATGGATTTGGTGTTGAAATGTTGACTGATGAAGACGACATGTTAAGGGAAGAGAATAGACTCCTGAGACGGGAACTGGTGTCATTCAAGTTTCGTGAGCACATGGTAAAGAGCTCGGATAAGGTTTTCATCATTCTTTCACCCTCATATCTAAAACTTTGTGAGATGAATGAGGACGATGCAAGAAATCAAAACGTTTCCGAAGAAGAAAAACTCGTGTATGACGAGGTTGTTCAAATCAGGTGTGAACTGCATGAGCAAATGTACCGCAGCGATCGATTTATTCCAATTCTTTTTCGGCTAAACGAAGCGGCAAGCATTCCATTCTGGATAAAGGAGCTGGTATTCTTTTCATGGCCGGAAGACAAGGCTACGCTTTTGAACAGGTTGAATGGTTTGCCAGAATGCCCTCCTAATAATTTGGTATAGTATTTCCATACATGTTGATTGCATGAAAATGTAGCTAATATATTGGATAATATACTTATTGTAGATTTAAGCTCAGTATTATTTATAACAAGACGCCTACTCAGGCGTTCACACTGACCTGAAAACGACGACATGCGCTCTATGGTGCAATCTCGTTCCCTGAGCCTGCGGTCCTTGGGAAGGAAACGAAGGCTCTGGGATAATCCGTTTCAGGGAGGAATCTGATTGGCCGTTGATATGGAATATGCAGTTCAATCTTAGCCAGAATTCCTGGCTTTCGGCAACGGATTATCCCAGAGCCTTCGTTTCCTTCCCGAGGATCGCAGGCTCGGGAACGAGATTGGCTATGGTGTAATTAATGACAAGGGAATGGTGAGCAAGAGAGTTCGTATAGAACAGTTTCAGCGGTAGATCAATAAGAGATCAAGAAAATCAATAACTTGAGCGGTAGATCAAGAAAATCAATAATTTGACAAGAAAAAGCAGAAGGCAGAAATCACCACTTTATCATTGGCAACTTTTCAACCCTATACCATGAGTGTCCCTATATGTCGTGTGGAGTTTATCTATTGGTCGAGTGTCGAGGGTTAAATGTCGAGGGCGAGGGTAAAACGTCGAGGGTGAGGGCAAAACGTCGAGGACGAGGTAATATGCGTTCCACGCACATATTATAGGCTACTACGTGCATTTTAAATGTACTAACAGGGCAATTTAAACTTCACGGCAAACGGCCTTTTTGGCCGCTGATTTTTCTTCTTCGTTCGCTTCATCTGCTCCGCATTGTTATCTCAAAAGAATCATCATACATTACAGTTTTAAAATAGCTAGTTCATTTCCCATTTATTACCTTGACCCTTGTAGCATAAATTTTATATTTACTATAGCTACCACAAACGGCTTTTTGCAATTTTGCGCACTTAGCGCTGCGCGAATTCTAGTAACTACTGCATGAATTTTAATACATGTGTTATGCTACATTATACACATGAGAAAAATCCAACACTGTATGCTATATTGTCGACATTTTGTAGCAGATTTCGTAACAAATGTCGTTCATTGCCAGTGGTATTTTGAACGCACGCTTTATCGATATCTTTACTTGCGCCAATTCTTGTAGCTACTGCGCGAATTTTAATACATGTATTATATATGGCGCGTTTTTACTGTCAAAATTCAATAGGTCCAATAGTTATAAGTCGAACACCAAATCACCAATGATACAAATCGGGCAACACTTACTCGAATCGAGCGGACTGATATGTAAATCGATTATTGAAATCGATCAATATACATTCAAAACGAGCACTGACAGTATAGCCAAATCGAACGACTTTTCCTTGTTTATATTATATTGTGAACTATAGATAGATAGATAGATAGATCAACTTTATTTAAACACATTGGCCTTTTCAGCAAAAGCTGATTTCCAAAAGGGATGTGTACTTACAAATTATTATTTATATACTAGCTCTAATATTACATACATAACAAATACAATTATATACCTATATTTAGACAAAAAATTAACTACTACTTTAAGTCGAGATTAAGGTCGAGGAAGATAGCTTTTTACAGAACGAATTATACGATACCGAATTGCGTATCTCTTCAGGTATCTGATTCCATAGTTTAGCCCCGCTATATTGGAAGCTTTTTTTTAAGGATTCCGTTTTTGGTCTTGGAATATAAAACCTTGTTGAAGAACCTCTCAGATTATGGTCATGAATGGTATTCAGATTTTGGAAAGTTTCAAATAGTCGTTGGGGGGCTAAACCATTAACTGTCTTGTACATGAGCCTGGCTTTCATTTGTGCCCTACGCTCTTCAAGTGTTACCCAGCCTAGAGATTTTCGTGCCAAAATAGA